CCCGACCCCCCTCTCCCCCCGGTTCCCTTCCTCCCCCGGTTTCCCGTGCCCCCCACCCCGGTTCCCCTGTGCCTCACCCGGTGCCCCAGCCCGTGGCTCTGGCCGTGCACAGGGTGAGCTGCCTGCTCCTTGCACCCCTCTGCACCCCCACCCCATTGCCCACTCCCCCACCACCCACGGGGGGGGCTGCCGTGGGTGCAGGTTCACACTGGAAGCAGGAGCTCAGGAGCACTGACCTCCAACCACCACCCTGAAGCAGGTTTGCTTCCTGCCCTGAGCTCAGGTGTGATATCTGAGGTTACCAGGTTACCCCCTGATCTGCTGGCACCAGCCCCCCCCCTGCAGCAGCATCCCCAGCAGGGTCCTGGGGGTGGCTCACACCCAGGGGGACCCCCCCTCTCCCCCCCTGGGGACACCTCTGGGGACACCTCCCAGGGCCACCGTGTCCCCAGGGTGGGGGGGCTGGCAGGGACAGTCCTGTTTGTCATGCTGGTTTGCAAACTGGGGGGGGGTTGGATGTGCTGCAGGCTGCTCCCAGCACCAGGGCTGGGTGTCCCAGTCAGACCGGAGCAGCAGGTTGGGATGCACTGGGCGACCTGACACTGCTTCCAGCAGGAGCAGTTTTGCACTTGTTTTTCACTTCGTGGCAAAGAGTTGCCCCAAAACTGCAGTGGGTTGAGCTACCGAGGGAGGAAAGGCTGAGAGAGCTGAGTTTGTTCAGCCTGGAGAGAGGAAGGCTGAGGGGGGGACCTTATTGCCACGTTCCAGTACTTTAAGGGTGGCTGCCAAGAAGATGGAAACTCCCTTTTTATGAGGAGTCACATGGAAAACACGAGGGATAATGGGTGCCAGTTGCTCCTGGGAAAACATCCCAGTTGGACAGCAGAAGGAAGTTTTTCACAACGTGAGCAGTCAGACACTGCAATAATCTCATGGGTCATGGTGCAATTCCCCAACATGGGACATGTTTCAGACTTAGCTAAACCATGTTCTTGCCTGGAAAGGTTGGCCCAGCTGGTCCTCGAGGTCCCTTCCAAGCTGGCATTGTGTGGTGCATCCCTGTGCACAGAGCAGAGGCAGCACAGTGTGTTTCCCAGTGCCTTTATTTGTGTGCACATACCTGGCAGGTGTGGAGGAGGAGCTGGGTGCAGCCTCACCTGGGCTCCTGCTGAATCACTGCCATGTGGGCAGATGGGTGAGGAGGGGACCACAACCCTCCAACCAACGTCCCTGGGCCTGTCTCATCACCCTGGCAGCCTCATTCCCCCCTTGCAAAGAGCACAGAGATTTTATAGGACTTGTCCTCTTGACCTTCTCACTCCTTATCTCACCCAGTGAGGTGCTGTGTCCAGAGAAATCAAGCTATAGGAGAGGATCAAGGGGCCACTGGCCCAAGGAGCATCATTTTGGTGTCACAGCCATGCTAGGTACCCAAAACCACATGGCTTTCCCCCAGACTGGGAGAGCTGGTGCAGCAAGGGGACCTTCTGCCAGTCCCCTCTGTTCCCCTGTCCCTCAGTAGTGACCTGCTCCTTACACAACACTGCAGACTGCAGAGAAGCCTGCAGAGGAGAAAGAGCTTAATTTAAAGGCTAATTATAATTAATCTGTTGCCAAAGGAGGCTTAAAAGCATGAGCCAGTTACATGTGCTAATGTGCTCTGGGTGGCCAGAGGGTGTAATTAGAGCTGGTGTGTGGACACCAGGTCATTGGGTGGTTATTTCTGGCCAAGGCAACATGTGCTGGTGTCAGTGACAGTGGGTACGTGCAGCCAGAGCCAGGGCAGTGCAGAAGGAGAAGGAACAAGGCCCTTGAATGCTACCTGGAGAGATTCACCAAAGGGAGGAGGGGGGAAAAACCCAACAGAATTCCATGTTTTGTGGTGAAAGCCTTGGTAGCTGTGGTGTCACCTCTGTGGGTGGGTTTGTTCCTCAAGAGCAGTGCTGGCTCCTCCTGTTCCAGCAGGATTGAAGAAGGAGGTTTGATGCCTTGGTAGGTGCCAGCAGCCCCAGGTCAGACAGATGGACAGTGCTTGGATTGATGCTCCTCTGCCAGGGAGGCATCCCTGGACCCCCCTGGCACCCACTGTCAGGTGGTCACACCTGTGGCTCTGGGTGCTTTGGTCTGTCCCACCCATGGGAGAGAAACCCCTGGGAGCAAGAGGGACATGGAGAGCAGCTGTGCTGCAGTGGCCACCAGCCTCCCTCTGCCTCCCATGGACCTTCCCTTCTCAAGTCTGGGTTGGTGAAGTCCTTGGCTTGTCTCCCTTCCTAGCAGGGGTCAACTCTGGCTTTTTCTTGCCAGCCCAGATGTACGTGGGAGCTGCTGCAAGAGGTGAAAATGGGAGGTCAAGGGAGGAGCTGAGCCTGTTCAGCGTGACTGTGATTTTTAGTGCAAGTTCCTCTTCCCGTTTCAGGAATTGGGGAAAATAATACATTACACCATTTGGTAAAACCCCAGCTGAGCTGCAGCTGTGGGGCTCAGCACTGGGAGGGGGTGGGTGCCTGGAGCTGCTGAAGATGTGGGTGCCCCAGCCCCTGGCTGCCCCATCACCCCCAGCCAGTTCCTGCACTGCCCTTTCCTTGGCCT